TCGCTGGGCTTGTCCAGACATTGCTCTATGCCGACTTCTTCTACTATTATTTCCTGAGGTAAAATCATTACCTCATCTCTCCCCTTGTTCCTCCCAACTCTACTTCTGCCTTTGACACTTCTCTTCATTTTTATGTTTGCAGCTGGAAGAACAACAAAAAGCTCCAATTGCCAGCTTAATTTTCGATGCTCGGAAACTCTAAGAATTCAATTTGGTGCCCGTTAGAGGTTTACCAATTAACTCTGTTGGTGGTTAATGGAGGAGACGAGCTTAGATATATGTGAACTCCAGCGACCTAACTTACATTACACTCGTTTGAACTTTTTCCGTGTCTCAGCTTTTTGCTCTAGTTAAGTGATACTAAAGGATTTCGACAGGACAGTAAAACATCCCATCACAACGAGATGTGAACCGTTATTACAATCGGGATGAAAATGAGATAATAATAATAATAAAAATTTGGATAATGTTACTCCAGCTTAATAGAAAAGACAATTAAGCTTCTTTCTTTGTCGTCAATGATAATTAAGCTTCTAAGATCTCATCTATCACTTTCGTGATATTGGTATAAGTTAGAGGTCTTTCTTTGAGCATTAAATGTGAAGCTTTACGCATCTTAAACACGCACATCCATCTCTATACAGTGCAAACTTCTATACAGAAATTCAAAGTCACGAACACCTACTATCGATTTTGGATTTTCATCAATTCAAAACGAGAATAGAGAACACGAATTATGGAACTACAAGTAATCACACTGAAAAGTAAGACAAACAGTAATATCTACTATATATAAACAAATGTCATTATTACGAGACATTTTGCAAAAAAAAAAAAAAAAAAAAAAAAAAATTCAAAATAAAATCTATGCAGATTTGCTTCTTATATCTATAAAACTAGAGATTGACCCGCTCTACGGACGGATGAATTTACATTAAAATTATTTTATATTAAAATATGTTCTAATTTTATAGAACAATTGAAATAGTGCTTTAAATTGAACATGATAAATTTAATTTTTTTTGTCTAAAATTGTGTTTTAAATTTAATTTAATTTAATTTTGTTCATTTCAGTTAAACATAAAAACTATTTTTTAAAGAGAACACAAAATTTTAAATAAAAGAATTTTAAAACTGTAATAGTTTGTATTTATTCTTTTAATTTTTATTTTTAGATAATATAGACAAACTTTTTTAGTGTTGTGGACATCAAATATATGTCAACACCTTTCAACGAATGTACATCTTTAACAATTTTACATGCAACATGTATTTAAGCGACAGTGGCACAGAGATTTGGATGAGTCAGATGCTTGGATGTTGAAATTTTGTCTAAGATTGTATTTTAAATTTAATTTAATTTAATTTAATTTAATTTTGTTGGTTTCAGTTAAAAAAACCATTTTTTAAGAGAACACAAAATTTTAAATAAAATAATTTTAAATAAAAGAATTTTAAAACTGTAATAGTTTGTATTTATTCTTTTAATTTTTATTTTTCGATAATATAGACAAACTTTTTTAGTGTTGTGGACGTCAAATATATGTCAACACCTTTCAACGAATGTACATCTTTAACAATTTTACATGCAACATGTATTTAAGCGACAGTGGCACAGAGATTTGGATGAGTCAGATGCTTGGATGTTGAAATTTTAAGACCTTTAATCTTGTTTTGGAAAATACTTGCCGTGTACAATGCTTAACTTTATGGTTATGTATTCATTAATAAAAGTTAGTAAACCTACTTGACCTGATATTCAGAAATATAGAAGCATAAAACTTCAAGAAATTACCATCACAAGTAACTTCTGTTGGAACTCTAAATCCTTCGAATGTAGAAAGTAAAACTCTCTCTTGAATATAAAGTATTGTGTGCAGGGAATATACAATCAAATAAAAGATTTCTATAGCAAAAATGCAGGAACTTATCTACAAATCTCACATACAGAGATTTTATATCTGATTTATAAAGATGATAAGTGTTATTGATAACACAAAGAGTGGCTCAGATTATGCAAAGCTTGGCTCATAAATCTGGCTTGGATAGCATATGAGCATCGCCCATCTCATCCTCAAGTGCTCTTGTTAAAAATAACATAAAACTGTGAGGAGAGAAATAAAGAGCTCGGACCAAACTCGTCGATCCATTATTCATCTCATATGAATCACCTTACTTACACTTTCATCAAAATGTACTTGAGAATCATACTGACCCGTATGGCAAAAACACCTCTTGAAAAACTCTTCCATCTTTTCACCGCAGTTTTCCCTGAAAATATCAGATAAAAGAGTTTAAACACGCCATATCTGAAAAACCAGAAAGATTCATAGAGACTAATGTCTTGGTGATATTTATCATCAGGAAATCTCCAAAGGTAGAATCATTCACCTCTTATCAATTCTACATGTCAAAGTTTTGCTGACCATGTCTTTAAGTTCAACATCGGTCATCTTACTCCTGCATAGCCGTATATTGTAAAAAGCTGCAACGAACACAACAAAATCAAATGGTCTGCACTTACCACGTTCAATCAATATAAAGAACTATCAAGAAAAAAGAAAGGGTTTTTCTTTCACCTCAGGAAGACAGCCTTCATAGTAAAGTGCGAACAGAGCTGGGAATATTTTCTTCTTAGCAAGAGCACCAGAGGCTCCCACCATTTGACAATTGATTGAACAATTCAAACACACTTAATTTGTCACATCAAACAACAAATTAGGATCATGAGAAAATAATGCAAGTAATAAAACATCTGGATTATAATTAGATCTCTTGCCTCAAGAGGGTAATCCATCCATCTAAAAAAAAGATAGAACAACTCAGCTTTACTGTTTGAACCGAGTTCGGTCGTGTTATCAGTGAAATGAGTGACGGGACTCGTCGGTGGGTTATTACAAAGTATAAATCGAGATGAGCAAAGAGAGAGGCTTTATTTATAATCGGAAAGAGTACAAAGGGAGATCCCGGTGCTCCGAGAGCTCAATCGGGAGAGCGCACATGTTTGATTATCACAACGAAATAAACAAAGGTGATTAACCCTAATCTATGCCGCCGTTTAGTGAGTCTAATTTCGGATCCCTCTTTCGTGCTCCTCCCTTCCACTTTTATAGCTTGGACTCTCCCACAATCATAACCTAGGTCGTCGCCGGTTCATGGGCCTTCGGTATTGGGCTTCTCGTTGGCTCGGTAAGGTGAATCCTCTGCTCGTACGGACGCCACTCGGATGCCAACGAGTCATGCATCCTCATCAACAATTCTCCCCCTACCGGGCCGAGTTTGTTTTCCTGTGGGCCTTGAGGGGTGGGTACAGCCCACCTCCTATAGTAAGTCCCCCAGTCTATTGATGATCGATCGACTAGTCAATAGAATGAGCCAATTAGGTTTACAGGAAAGTCTACTCGGAGCATGGGAGAAGGTTTCGAAAGCCCCCTTTTATGCAAAGGGTTTATCCGGCAAAACGGGGCGGAAGCGGGCGCGCTACTCGTTCATGTTCGGTTGACCGGCGTTCGCGATTCACTCGGTAGTCGAGCAAGAACGGTGATCATGTTGCTGGCTCGGTTTACGTTTGGTTGGTGCTTCCCGTGGTTCACTAGGTAATCGAGCAAAAACAGTGATTACGTTATTTACTCCACTCCCGTCTGGTTAACGCATTTCGCGATTCACTCGGTAATCGAGCAAGAGCGGTGATCGTGTTGTTTCTCGGCTCCCGTCTGGTTAATGCGATTCACGATTCACCCGGTTATCGAGCAAGAGCGGTGATCGTGTTGTTTACTCGGCTCCCGTCTGGTTAATGCGATTCACGATTCACCCGGTAATCGAGCAAGAGCGGTAATTGCGTTGTTTACTCGGCTATCGTCTGGTTGATGTTTCCTGTTGTTCGCTCGGGGTGTGTAGAAAGAGAATACGAACCGTCACGAGTGATGGGCTTCTCCCTATAAGACTCGGCCCATTAAGGGCGGAATGCGAACAGTCGCGAAATAAAAAGCCCATCTAGGTTTTTATAGACCTAATAAATGCAGCACTGAGATTCGCGCCTTACTCTCCCTATATATACTCCTCTTGCCTCCGCTTTTCTCATTCTTCTCCGCGAGATCAGGTATTCTCTCTCCCTTCTCTCTACTTTCTCTCTCTAGATTGTTGTAAGATATATACGCACTACTGGTTACGATGTGCCCCCGAAAACGATTGACTCGGGAAGAGAAAGGGAAGAACGTAGCGCGAGACGAGACAACCGGAGAGCCTTTGGACACCTTCGAATTAGAGCACCGAGCGGCACTGCGTGACTCGGCCAGTCTTGACTTGGCGCATAAGCTTCTTGTTGTCGACTCGGAGAGAGAGTTGAGGGGAGAGGCTGCCGGTAATGCGGCTGCTGAGTTATTTGGCGACCCGCGATTAACTCGGCAGCCTTCGGCGCAGCCAGTCAGATCTAACACCCGGAGTCGTGCCATCGGAGCAGAAGATGGGACCCGATCCACAGGTCCTTCTGGGAGTACCCGAGCTGTTGCAAGTTCTCCCCCGGTCCCAACACGTTATTCGGGAAATGGTGTCTTCGAGCGTGGCGCGGAGGTTCCGTCGAACTTAATACGTGAGCGCGGCACTTATTCTAACAGGCGCATATGGTCGACGTGGTCTACTTCCACTCGGGTCGAAAGCTTGCTTAAACGTCTTGATGCAGTCGGAGTTACGTACTTGATCCCGACTGATAATCAGCGGCCCTGGGCTCCTCCG